CCAAGAGCAATCCATCACACGCCTAGCACGCCCCCATTTGACAATACCGATTTGGTAAAAATTTAAACTTCGAATCTCTAATTTTAATCACATTTTATGGTATGCTAATGTTTGTTTGAGTTTATATAGAACAGTTATGGATGGTTGAATCACATGTTCCATGCAAGAATAAAAAAAACACCATAGTTAGAGCATGAAGCTTTCGAAGATTCGGGCCTAGGGATTTCTGATGATTGCACCCCCTGTTTACTTTTGCTACTAGGCCCATCTTTATTTTCTTGTTTTATTCATTTCATTTATTTATTTTAATCCTTTTTTTATTTTTATCAACAAACAAATATAAAAATCACATAAAAATAGATTTAGGATTTTTTTTCCTAATTAAATTTTAATTTTGGTAAATTAAGTAACTAAACACTTTAACTTTTTTTTTTTAAAATTAAAATTAATAGAACTTAGGTTTAATTTCATTTTAGTTCATTTTCCTTTTCATAACAAAAATATCAAAAAAACATAGAATTAATTTCTTTTATTTAAATTTAATGTTTCTTTAATAATTATCATTTTTTTAGTATAGATCTAGATCAATTATTTTTAACTTAAACCATTTCTATAAATTAAAACAAAAGTAAACAAAAAGAATTTTTTTATATCTTAGGATTTTTAGACGTCTTTTCAAATTTGCGCGTTATTATTCTTTCGCACTTCATTTTATTATTGTAACTGTAGATTGGGATGTAATAGATGATTAGTAGGACCTTTACCTCTTTTATTTATTTTTCCCCCAGTTTTGGATATGTACATAATCCCCCTCCCCGAAGCCTTGTGTTGTACCCCAAAATTTTCCCTCTCATATTATCAAGATTTTTCCTCACAAGACCTCTTGGACTCCAGACCAGATTAGGGTTTGCTCAGCTCAAGACATCTCCTTGCACTGATGACCTGAAATTAGGGTTTGAGTTTGCACAAGGATTTTTGGACCATCAATGCTTAATGTGACTTTCATACACTATCTTGTATCCCTAAGATTGCTCATACCAAGTTTCAAGGCTTGAATCACATTTTTGCCCAGTCAATTGGACAATTGACCTAAAAATCAGCTGTATTGGGGAAAAAGTCAACCATGGCCAATTTATAGTCAAACTTCATAATTTTTTATCCAAAACAACATTCTAGGCTACTATGTACCATTTGATCAAGTTTGGATCACAACTCCTCAAGAAATTTGATCAGATCATCAAAAGGGCAAAATGGTCAAAATTAGGGTTTTGACTGAGAAAGGGCAATTTCTGATTTTTTACCTAGCCAATAACCAATTGGGTTCAAGCATTATTTCAAGGACTCAATAGCATCATCTTGACCTAATCACATGGTTCAAAAGATCTCAAATGCATTGGATTGACAGATGAATTTTCCAGTCAACTGATCAAAAGTCAAATGTACACTGAAAAGTCAAACTTTGACTTTTTGGTCAAAATCAAGTGCCAAGGGTCATATTTCATCAATATGTGTCAAAACATGAAACTTGTTCACCAAGAAACTTAAATTTGGAAATTAGGGTTTAAGTTTGAAAATTTTCATAACTTAGAATTTTTCTAAGTTATGAAAATTTCTTATTTTTTCCCAACTTTTCCCAACTTTTTCACCATGATGCATTTGGATTCAAAGAAAACTTCCAACATTAAAGTTGTATTCCTACACAAAATCTACAACTTTTAATCACAAATTTTTCCCAAAAGATGCTTGGATCTCAAGTTATGATTTTGTGAATAAGGGTCCAAAAACTTTTTAACTTAGTGAAATTTTGCCCTAGTTTAGGCAGATTTTTGACCTAACTTCATGGTAACTTTTCACCTAGTTCCAAGAGGAATCTCAAAATTCATTTCAAATATGGATTGTAGAGCATGTTACAATATTTCCAAAATGTCAAAGAAATTTCCAAGATCATTTATGGTTAGGGAGAATCAAAGAAATGCAAATGGCAATTTATCACTTTTGTCCAAATCTGTCCTAGCATGCTTGTACTTGGTTTTACAGGTCCTAATACTTTCCATACTCCTTAATTAAATGCAAACACATTGGATAATGGTCTTGTTCTGGTCTTAGAAGCATTACACATTGAATTAATCCAAAAATGGCATAAAGTGCATAATACCATTTTGATAAAGCATGCTTTTTGAAATTTTGTATTTCTTGAGCCATGGACCTGATCTTTGGTTGCAAACAAGATCCATACACTACAGGAAAAGTACACCAACTCTCATCAGGCCTTAAGCTAGCCTGTACAGGCCTTTGGCTTTGTCACTTCACCTTTTCTTCAAAAGCAAGCAAACTTGCAAAAGTCAAGCAAGCTTGTGTATCTGATAAAACCAAGACTTTGTATCATTTCAAATGACCTGAGAACATTTTTGCAAGCCTAAGACACGATTCCATAACTTCTCAAACACCCTAAAACACAAAAAAAACACCATTTCTGCCCAAAACAGGGCAACCTCTGCAAATCACTAGCCAAAACATATTTGGCTCGTGCGTTTTTTGTTTCAAGGATTTTAACACATTACATACCTCACATCCAAGTTATCCAGGCCCTTACCTTGTAACTGTAACCCCTGTTTCGAAGATCACCATTTTCATTTTGAAGGTTTGCAGGTTGACTTCTACAGGGAGATTGAGGGAACTTCAGGGAAAGCTGAGCATTGGAAAAGGTTGAGGGATCTTCAAGCAAGCTCACACGACCTTCAGGCCTCACTCAAAGATCCTACATTCCCATATCCAAACTCACCTGAACAAGGTATTTGTCAAGTTTCTATCTCTCTATTTAGGCATCCTTAAGCTTAGGTTTGTGAAGCAAAAATGTAGTCTTTAACATGCTTGAGCTGTACATATGCTTAGTTTCCATTTATATTAACTGAGCTAAGAGTATTTGATTGTTGAAGTTCATGAAAAAATTAGGTCAGAAATTAGGGCCATTAAAATTCTCCTTGATCTTTTAGAGTTAGGTCATGTTTTTTATATCATTAGAATCGTGAGTTAACATGCTACATGTTTCATGTTGCAAGATTTTGTTTTTATGCACATATGCAAGAGATACAGGTTGAAGAAGAACACGCATGTTTTGGTTGTCTGGAGGTCAGGGACAAAGCTGTCCTGGGCCAGGGCCTTGGGCCTATTTCTATTCACACCACCGTTTTTGCTTCTGCACCCGCCTTTGCATTTTCTTTTATTTTTTATATTTTTTGCATATATTTTATTTTGACTTGCATTTATTTATTTTCTGAACATTATAAAATCATAAAAATATTTTCTTATTTTTTTGCATTTTATTTTATTATTTTTTATTATTTTTCGGCATAAAAATAGTTTATTAGGTTTTATTTTCTTAAATAAACTTTTAAAATAATAAAAATACTTAAATATTTTTATTTTATTATTTCATACATAAAAATAATTATTTTTATACATATTTAATTTTTTTTTATTTGTATATAATATTATTATTATTTTTCTTGAACAAAAATGAATAAAAAAATACTATAAAACAACATTTTCTTTTACACCAAAAATTAGGGTTTCCCCTTTCAAAAATAATATTATTGTTTTTATTTTTTTAGAACTTAAATAATTTTATTTTTACATACATAAAATAAATACAAAAACATTTTTTGCATATTTACATTTTATTGCATATTTAAATATTGTTTATTTATTTATTTGTACAATAAATTCAATTTGGTTGTAATAGTTTTAGGGCTTTATTTTTATGCAAATATCCCCATTCAAAACTTGTACCCCCTTCCCATAATATTGTTGTAATAGTTTAGATTTACTTTACGCATTTTATTGCTTTCATAAACCATGATAGTAAACTAGGGTTTTGACTGAAAAGACCAAAAATCAAACAAATAGCAAGACCTAACACAAGACAAAAATGCATGAAAAATGACAACACCTTGCACACAAACACCTCTAGGGTTTCACCCACTTGCACTACAAGAAAATTAGTGTTTAACGACACAAAAATTGCGACAGTTATGTGATAACTGTCGTAATTGACATATAGAGACAGCGTTTACGACAGTTGACACCAACCGTCCCTAAAATTTATTTTGCGACGGTATATTTAACCATCATAATATTATTATTACGACGGTAAAACAACCGTCGGCCCCCATTTAACACTTTTAACATTGATTTTTCACCAACAACTAGTCACGACGGTAAAATTAACCGTCCTAAAAGGCATATCACGACGGTAAAGCACCCGTCGCACCCTTAAACCTTTCACGACGGTAAAATTATCCGTCCTAAAATTCATTTCACGACGGTAAAACAACCGTCGCACCCAAAACTTTTAAAAATCTCTTGCTAACATATATATTTTATCTAATTATAATTGTTATGTATATTTAAGTTCTCTCTTGTTAAGGTTAAGTTTATGCATTATTATATATTCTATGAAGTTGATACATTCTAATGTCCTCCTGCGTCACTATTCTTCGAACATCTCTCATCTTCCAACCGGTAAGTTTTCTATAACACTTTTTCTTTGTTCTCATCTTCACATATCTCTCTCATTCTTTAACATTGATTTCACCATTGGAGATTCACATGAATCTTAGGGTTGAGCTCTTTGTGATTCAAACATCACAACAAGCATTCATATCGACATTAAACCCAATCACCAACAATAAACCCTAAAACCCCAATTTATTCACGATTCAATGAGCAATACAAGTTATAGCGTTCATAATCACAAGGGGAAAGGGTATCGAGTAATAACACAAAGAAAATAGACAGAAGGGAATAACGATTTAAAACCCTACAACATACAACATCTTCAACATTTGTTGTATTCTTTCCCTCTGCACAATCGGTATTGTATTTATTTCGACTTATTTTAGGGTTTGTTATGTGAAACTTAAGTTCTATGTCTAAAACAATTTGTAACTTTTATTCTTCTTTTCTAATCCAAAGTCTAAACTGAGTTTTTGCAGGAAAATATGGATATTCTTATTGTGAAAGCACAGAAGATTGAGGTAGTTGAACTTAATTGTTGTTGAACTTGTTTCTGCTACTTTAAATCAACCCACTTTTTTATCTGCTCAAGGAATAAGTTTTGTAATCTTATTTTGAAATCTCTGGATGTCAGGTTTTGGATGAAGCGTACTGAAAAAAGCAAAAAAAATTGTAAACTTTTGTTTGACTTCTTCCTAATCTCTTGCAGGGGATAACTATTTCATATATTATTGAAAAAGAGTGGTTTTGAACAGGTTATATGCTTAGTTGCTTATATAAATTTGGTCATTGAACCTTGTATGTTTTTGGATAATTGGATATTGTCATTAGTTTACAACCATATTTTTGAATTTTTGATTTTTGATTTTTGTCAAGAGTGACCCTTCATAAAACTTGGGCTTTTGGAGTTGAAGAATTCCAATGTGATATGTATTTTTGCATCTGTTTCTAAGGTAATTATTGGAACTTGTACATCCCACTGAATGTTTTCACTATTAAAAAGATCACTTTACAGTTGAGTAACATTCAAGACTAGAGATTTTAATTATTTCATGTTATCATGTAACTACAAAGGTTATTCTGAAGCTTATGGTTGTTTTTGCATTTTACCCTATGCTGGTTTTTAGAGGGATGACACATATTTTGCTCTTCCAAAGCTGATTGAGAAGCCAGTAATAAACTACTCCCAACTTGTCTCATTCCCAATATACATTTAGTAGGAAAAGAGATACAACAAAGAAGTATGACTATGCACTCTAGATCTTTTATTTTTAATGACATTTTTTGTTTGAGATTATTTCATTCCACATCCCTTAAAAACTAGATGTGAAATTTATTGACATTGTTTTACTTGTGTGTTAATAAAACTATCATTTTTAGAAATTCTTGCTTGCTTCCTATTAAGATTTACTCAGCATGTCCCTACTTTGTTCCTTGTTTTGATTTGCATGAAGTGGACTAGTTAAATACGAAATGAAGTTTCCTCAATGTGGTTCATATATCTAGCTAGATCAATGCAACAAAAATAATTCTCGTACTGCTACTTCATATGCTTCAATTACCACCTGAGAAACTCTATTTTTCTTTTGACATATACATGGTTTTGTTTGGTATGGAACTTTAGATTTTCCATAGAAGTTGTTGCTTACAATCGTCTTAGTTATGTCAGTTTTGTAGGTGTGTTAGTTGTACCGGTACATTACCCTCTAAAATTGCTCGAAGTTGATGTCATTGTAAAGATTTGTACCAATGCTAGTATTATCTAAATAGAGAAATCGAATTAATTGGTAGATTCATTGTGAAAATAAAGAATTATGCCTCTCTTTTTTTTTTCTTTTGGGTTTAGTTATGTCTTATAAAATTAGCTTTATATTTTACAATATTGTTACCAGCTTGCTTTGTTCATTGTTCCTACTTTCTATTGCTTGTAATTTGATTTTTATTGCTGGAAGAGTATGTACAGGTATATGATGTCTTCTAAATTCTAATAGTAGAACATTGAGATGTTTTATCAAATGTTTTTCTTATTAAATGGAATGGCCATTGTAGGAAATAGGACGTGCTGGGAGAGATGGAAGGTTGTCCTACTGTCACCTATTTTATGATGATGAGATATATTTCAAACTCCGTATTCTAATGTACAGGTAAGACACTAACACACTTCTTTTTCTATTTTTCATGCTTTCAAATTGTTCTTCATTTGATGTAATTTTTTATCCTTAGTGAAGGAGTAGATGAATATGCAGTGAATAAATTTCTGTCTGAAGTGTTTCCTGCTGACAAAAGCTCCTGTGGGAAAATATGTTCGTTAATCAAAGAATCTGCTTCACGCAGATTTGACATGAAGGAAGAGGTCCTCTGCTCTATACTAATATACTATATACATTTATTTATATACTTTGATAACCCAGATGACTGATTTTCATTTACAAATTTAGACTTTTGTAACATCCAGTTGGGAGTTGGCCATACTGATATATTGATGGTCAAGAGGGATAACTGTAAATTTATGATAGCAATCTCAGGAGCACCGAAGATTTTGTATTTGGTTCCATAAGAGAATAATCATTAGCATTGTTATCTGTGGAGCATGCATGCTTTGACTTAATGCAGCTTTTAGGAGTGTTTCTTACTTTGCAACCGATCCTTGTTTTTACTTTTTGTGCAAAAATGTGGTTTTTGGTTAATCTATCTACTTGTTAAGTATTTAAAACCCAAGAAGTCAAGATTAATTTAAGGCCAATTAAAACTAAGGTGAAGTTTCTAGGAGGTGATTGGGATTTTATTTTTTATGGGCAACTATCTAGTTATAGGCATCAGTCATTTATCCATTAAATACGGTAATAGATATACACATGCTAGTAACAGAACTTTCTGTTACAAGGGAACTCTAGATAATTAGATGTTACTTTTTTCAGACTAGTTCTACAAGTTAAAACGTTTCTCCAATATTTCTTTTGCTAGGTGATTCTCACAGTTTTGACACGCTTAGAGCTGGGTGATGTGCAGTACTTACATTTACTTCCACAGACAAATGTTACTTGTGTTCTGAATTTTTATAAGGTGTGTGCAAACAGACCTTCAGTTGCATGTAGAATATGTCATATGAGATAAATTCAGTAACCTATTTATGTTAACTATATTTTTAACTATAGTATAAACTACATAATGAAGAGATTCAAACGAGACATTTCAATCTTGTCTGTTAATTTTTAACTGAAAGTTAGAAAGATAAATGCAGTTTGAGCAATTATTCGTTTGCTTATATTTTTAATTTTTGGCACTAATGCAGACTCCGGTTGTGTCCCTTGCCCAAAAGGTTTCTGCTATTGCTGTGATTCTGAAAAGGTAATAAAATGAATTGTGTGGCTTTTATGTAGTATCAATATGTAAACCTTACACCGGTAATATCATTAAGTAAACCTTTTTCGGGTTTTCTATTTAATGTTTTAGTTTTAGTTTTAGTTTGTAACAAAAGGGGAAACTCTAGCGAGCAATTTCCATTCTTTCATTTTTCCACTCCTATTTTTGCTGAAGGTTCAATGTTTATTCGACGTTGGTTGTCTACATATTTTATATCATTCATAAGTTGCTAAACTGAAGTTTTAATTGTGGATTGCAGGGGAAGGTATACCAAGATAGACTTTAAAGTGGTGATGGAAGCAGCAAAGGAAGAACTTAAAAAATTTATTGGGAAGGATATTCTGTAGAGATTTATGATTGATTTTAGTATCTTACCACCTACCAAATTTGCACACCCTTATTGGTAAAAACATCTGTGTGCACATCGATTGGAGGGGGAGCTGGGGTGCTCAATCTTTTTGGACCAGTGCATATCATTGATGTTAAATATTTTTTATTGAAATTATTTTTACTATATTACAAAGTGATAGAAAATAAAACAAAAAATAATACTATAAATAAATATATTAAAGAAGAAATAATTTAAAGAAAAAAATAACACAAAAAAAAACTATAGTTAAAATTTTTTACATAGATAATAATTTAAATAAAAAATATATATAATAGAAAAATAAAAAAAAATCAAGACATAGACAAAAGTCATGGCGACAATATCAAACCGTCGTAATCAACAATTAAAAATAATCAACAAAAGTCATGACGGTATTGAACCGTCGCCATAAACAATTTAATCAATTTCAAAAGATATTCACGACAGTATCGAACCGTCGCCATCAATAATTAAAAGAAACTCAAAAGATAGTCACGACGGTATCAAACAGTCACCAATACTTGATTATGTCAGCTCCAAACCCGTCGTAAACTTGAACGACAGTTTTTGTAACCGTCGCGAAATAGGTTGGGGACACACACTTCTGCGACGGTAAAGCAACCATCGTGGAAAGAAAATTGCGACGGTTTTAACCGTCTTAATCTACAAAAATACCTGTCGCAATCTGCCAATTTTCTTGTAGTGTTGGTTGCCTTAAAAATGGCCATGGTATGCATGTTGGGTATCTTGGAAAAACAAAACAAAACAAAACAAAAAGATCATAGTCCCTCGATCACGCTATCTTGGTTGCCTAAAAACAAATGATCTAAGTCCCTCAAAACTTTCTAAGATACTTGGCAATATTGTTATCATGGTCATACGATGACCCACGCCTGTCCCGTTTAACATCCAAAGATAGGGTTGTTTACCAAATGCAATGGTAAATCAACAACAATAAAGGAATAAAATGTGCAAGAAAGACTTTTTAGTAGGGTAGATATCTCCTAGTTACTTGATCTCTTTCAAACAATCCTTGCTATTTTCAAACAAACACACACACATTTCAAAAACAATTTCAAAACAACTTTCAAAATATTGAAACATTTTTCAAAAGACAAACATCTTTGTATACATTCTTACGAACGAGAATCATTACAAAGATTGCCAAAATGATGGCCTCTTTTTCAAAATACATTCAAAACCACACAAAGCACCATTTCAAACAATTTAAAAGCAAAAGCAAGTGATCTAAAACAAGTAACTAAGAGCCCATGGAAAACCATGGATGAAAAGGGTTCTAGCACCTTCCCTTTCCATAATCTACCCCCCGAACCCAAAAACAATCTCAAAGGTCTTTCCTGTACTTTTTTACCTTTCCTTTTGGATAAAATAAAAGTCGGTGGCAACTCTTGCTAAACCGCAACATTTGCAAACACAAACGCAAAACACCAAGTCAGTTCTCCCACCGCATCACACCTTGTAATAGCTAGGTTTTATATTTCTGCACTTTTAAATTACCGCAATTATTAACTGCTACATGTATGACTAATAGGATTGTATGGCAAGAATAATCAAACATTAGCAAACTTAACACAAGACTAAAATAACTGAATATGATCTTGTCCCTCGATGTTGCCTACGAATATATGATGACAGTCCCTTCGAAATGCTAAAGTATCCTTACATGTTTCCTTCAATGACCATTACGACCCTTTCGATAGTCCCTCAAACTCCAACGATGGTGCTACTTACTCCTTAATAGTAGGATAGCGCTGTCTAAAGGAAACTAGAATAGAAACAATCCTTTTTCGAGTAGGTAGATGCTAGTAGGTACTTGCTCAAAATCAAACTTCCACACTTACATTTTTTTTCAAACAAAGGTTTCAAAAACACTTCGTAACACTCTTGAAGACAGAAGCAAGGGTTAAAATAAAGTAAATCAAAACTTTTCAAAACAAACACACACAAGCAATTTTTAAAAGATGAGCAAGTACCTAAGAGCCCGTAGAAAACTACATATGAGCAATTTTCTGTGCTTTTTTCCTTTCCAGTTAGATAAAATAAAAGTCGGTGGCGACTCTTTCTTACCGCGACATTTTGCAAACATAAACGCAAAACGAAAACCAGCATTTTCTCAAAACAGTCTGGTTATGCCACCGTATCACAGGGGGTAGATTATGGAAAGGGAAGGTGTTAGCACCCTTTCTATCCGTAGTTATCTACGGGCTCTTAGGTACTTGCTCATTTTTTAAATTGCTTGTATGTGTTTGTCTTGAAAATGTTTTACTTCGTGATAACCCTTATATCAGTCCTCAAGGATGTGACGAAGTTTGTTTTGAAAATTTATTTGTGTGAAAAGTTTTTATTAAGCAAGTACTTAAGATTCTACCTACTCGAAAAAAGATTGTTCGTTCGATTTCCTTTAGACAGCGCTTTCCTACAATTAAAGAGTAGGTAGCACCATCGTTGGAGTTGTAAGGGACATTCGAAAGGGACAAGTACAATCACTAAAGCAATATTTAGAACATTTTAGTAGTAACCCTAGAGTCTTAAGATCTTTCCGAGGCAACATTTGAATGGGACAATTTGATCTTTTAGATTGGAGGGCAACCACTAAAATCTCCTATGCTTAATGATTGTTTACCGAAGGCAACCGAAGTGAAGTAAACCCTAGAAGTGAAATATGTGCTTATGATTTGATTTAGTTTATTTAATCTTTGAACATTTGGTGATCTACCGTTTTAATTTTCCAAACATTCTTTCCATGCAATCCTATAGCATACATCTAAACAGTTAAGTATTTGAAGGAATTTAAAAGTGCGAGAAAGTAAACCTAACTATTACAAGGCTTCGGGGATGAGGATTAATTACATAACCAAAGAATCTGGGATTAAAGCAAGAAATAAAACCCTAATTTAACTATTGCAAACCATCGGCAGTTAAAAAAATAATGTAAAAGAAATGATTAAATGCGCGACGCATTAAATACGAGGAGAAATTGAAAACCCTAAAATCTAATTGAAAAAAAAAATAGTAAGTTATTTTTGAAAAAAGAATTGATTGAGTTATGTACGAATAAAGCCCTAATTCTAATTATTTTAATTATGAAAAAGAAATTGAAATTGATCTAATCTAGCTAAATTAAATAATTTCAAGAAAATAAAATATTTTGTACAAAAAGATTTTGTGCATTTTTGGTTTTTATTTGAGAAAAGAAATATAATTGTAAAATTAAAACCTAGTTTCTATTTGATTTTAATTATAAAAGAAATTAACTTAATCTATATTTCTAATTAAATTAAAACAAATATGTTATTAAAAAATTCTTTTTTTTTGGTATTTTGTGATTTGTTGATTTTATGATTAAAAAAAGTAATTAATTTGGTGAAAAAATAATTAAACAAAATAATTAAAATAAAAGAAGTAAATAAAGAAAAAAGAATATGGGCCTGTGTTGTTAGCAATTCTGGGGGGTGTCATTCTGAATTTCCAAGCCCAAAAACACTCCAAGCCCAGTCGATATTGGATCCTGTGTAGCGTTGACTTGAACGTGCACATAGTCCCTCATGGATGGAGCGTTAGATCTGATGGTGCGCTTGATCAAATGGTTGGACGCAAGTGTGCATGGTGGTCACCAGGAAGGATGATTCGTTGGATCTGTTACAAGAAAGCGAAATAAAGAAAATTTTGTTGGGACCTGGGATCCAACCCAGGTCCTTATACTCACTACCAATGCTTCATTGCCATCTGAGCTGTGCACTTTTGTTGTAAGTATAATGCAAACACATCATAATATATGAAATAAAGAGGTTAGTGGGATAAAAACAAAAAAAAGCGCGCTGGTTCGAATGGGCGAATGGCTGGCTGACACCTAACCTTCTTCTTCCTCTCTCCATCGTCTTAGGCTCTGGTACCTTTACCTATAGACAAAGGTCTGTAGCTACAAACCTGTGAAACTCAAAAATCCACAACATTCAAGATAAATGGAATCTAAATATATAAATTTACTCGTTTTGATCTTGTTAACAACATGGTACCCCTTTTGCTGGCCAATTTAACCTGTGGACAAAACCCCTAATCTACACATACAAACCCTAACAATGGCAAAGGCATGTATAGGATTCAAAAATGCAATTAAAGTATTCAGTTAGCTTGCAAACATGATGAGGATCTTAAATATATAATTTAAACATGCTAATGATGCAAGAATTGTGATAATCGATTTTGAAAATATGAGCAAACCGTGAGAGTGCTAGGGGGCGATTCTGGACGTGTAGAGACATGCTACCGATTGGGTAAGCTTCTGGGAAGGTTCAGGAATCGTTTGGTGATGCTAGAAGGGCTTGAATTAGCCTCCAAGCTTGAAACCGAGTCACAACTTTTTGTCAAATTTTGAAGTTGTGTTCTCCTTGTTCACGCATGCTAACCCTTATGCCATGCTTTGTTTTTGTCCATTATATATCTAGGAATGAATTAGGGTTACCAATTTGGGTTGAATCTTTGCAATTATAAGAGATTTGATTTGATTTTCAAGCTTATGTAAACTTGTTATTTTGAGCCAAATCTTCCCTTTCTTGTACCAATTATGCTTGATTCATTTTGGCCTTGATAATTCAGCATATTTTGATTGCCAACTTGTCCAAAACGCAAATCAAATCATATCTTTGCTATTATTCATCAATTATTTGATTTAATTCACTTTTTAATTAATAAAAAATCAAAATAAATTGAAAAATGGAGAAAATAATGTGTGGGTGAGTATTTGAGTCGTGGACCACATTATAAGTGAGGTGCAAGCATAAAAAGTTAGGCCTATTTAGCAAGAAATGCATTTTTGAGCATATTTGACTTTTGGAAATTTTGCAAAAAGGGTCAACTTTGACAAGGCATTTCTCTTCCAATTTTAACCCTAGAGAGGTGTTCTTAGAATTTTTAGAAATCTTAGTATGTCCACTAAGCAACTTTTTTGGTCTCATC